TCTCTCCTGCCCTCAACGGACCGCATCATTGCATGAACTCGCACCCTATATGGGGTGCCCTATTGCGTATGGTTGAAAGGCGTCTTCACCCCAAGCAACTCCAAGATTTCTTGCAAACCCTCTTTTCCTACCGCGTCCTCCTCCGCTATGTTTCCACCGCTGTCTTCCACCTTCCCCACAGCATTCTGTTCTTGTGGCCTCACAGATCACACAATGTCTTAAGAGACACACACACACACACACCTCCTCTTCACAGCTGGTCGAACACTATTTCAATGGAAGCTTCCTGGTGGAGTTCCAACCACTTTTCGCATCCCGTTGTCCCCTCCTTCCTAGCATCGAATCGACATGAACGTCCACCCCTGGTAGAAGACGGTTTGCATTGCCTCCTGAGCCCTCATGATGCTATTGAGGCACTATTCGCCGTCAATTGCATCACTTGCATCACAACATCCCAAAAACCATCCATGCTCAATCCCAAGCGACCTGCTTTTTTTCGCTCTCCCCCACCAGGCTCTGGGTTATCCCTCCGAAATTGGCCCGCGTGCGACCACCCCCCAACACACCCCCTTTACCCACTTCGTTCGCTCAACCCAACTTCAGCCTAGCCTATCGGCTGGCTTTCGTGATAAAACAATCAATTGTATGCACAAATGTTGAAAAAAGTCTTCACAGCTTGGTTTCCATTGGTGTTGCTTGTATTGTGTCCAACGTTGCTGACATGGTTCCTGATCGTTTGCAATGTCGTCTCCTATGTCTACCGGGTTCTTGCTCACCCGTGTTCAAACATGGGTTTCCGTTATCTCAGACTGGTTTTAATGGTTGGGCCGCACAGCTGATGTGACTTTGTGGTCCAAAGTCTTTCTTGAATTATTTTTAAATAGTTTAATCAAATGATCGTATTCTAAAGAGACCATGCCAAAATTGATGACCTTCTTTTGTTTGTTCTCATATATTTTTTTTGTGCTAAACATGTTGCAAGGTTCCAAATGAAAGGCCGGCGCTACACCAACGCTTTGAACCTCACCTGGCGTCTTCAAAATTAAGTATTGCAAAACGCACTTGGCCCCAAGAATCCAAAACCTCATGAAATTTGACATGCACATTAATTGCCCTACTTACATTCTTGTCTTAGTTATTTTCTATTTGCGGAGTTAATGACATTAACATATTACTATAGTCAAAAACCGGTGGTTAGCAGGGATATTTCTGCTTACCACATACTCAAAAGCAGGATTTCTGGCAAATTAAGGATAATACTATATAGGAGTCTTGTAGGGGCACACCCTAGTAAGCAGAATGTGATCTTTGGAATCACGGGATGTGCAGTGAACATATGCTTACTGCAGCTCGAGTTCAAGGGACAACGTGAACTTAGTTTTCGGTGACGCTGTTCTCATGGCGGAACCTCCAGACCCCCTTATCCAGGGGCAGCGTTGGGCTATCGAGGGAGTAGCGTTTGCAAAGGGGAAGACAGATCCCAAGTGTTTGCTTTGGGGTGCAGACACCATGGGGACCTCAAGTATGTTCAGCGGGTGCTGCTACGCAGAGAGGGCGCTGAACTACATAAGTGAAGGCCGGCTGCTACAGGATTCCAAGTTGCCCAACCTGTCAGTGGCTTGGTGTGCTTTCCAGGTGGGTTTTGAGTTTTTTTTGAACTGCCTGGGGGGCAAGAATAGTAAATGTTGCACTACCCCATGAACATGCATATATATATATATATATTCAAAGGACACATGTATGTACATACACCCTTGTAAAACACTGCTGAGGAGGCCTTATGGACCTGCGAGTCTAACATCATGGCCCGCTCATCACACTCAGATATCTTAGACAGTGGATCGTGCAGGTTCACCGACGTCCAGGATTTCACATCAGCAGAAGCACTGGCAGGGATGAAAAAAATCTATTCCCAGAATGGCCAGAAGAGATACCAGAAGTGGGTCGCTTTGGGCAAACATGCAACGCTTCCTGAAAAGTGTTTTTGCGCGCGCCATCTCAAGAAGCGCTCGCCTTAGACCTTTTCCCAGAAAGTTGCACTTCTTCCTTTTTGCAATATATATATATTAATATATATATATATGTTTTAATGGGAAACAACCCTCTGTGTACTTTGGACAAGCCCCAAAGGTTATGATATATATATATATAATTCAGCTCTCATGAGGCCAGCCCCCCCCGGTATGCAAATACCCAAATCTGCTTACTGCCCACTATAATGAGGTGCCACGTCCGGAAAGCTGTGTTGGATTGCAGCGGTTCCATGTGCACCAGCTACAGCTCTATGGGAAGTGGCAAAAAGCTGGAAGACAAGACAGGGTCTTTACTGGTCATTTACATGATGTACCAGTTCAGAAGTGGTGTGTGGATTGTTCTGCATGAGAATGTGGAGGGGTTCATCACCTCAGCGCTGACTGATTGTGCAGAAAGCTATGGATACGGACACCTGCAAATCTTCACAAGACCCACTGATGTTGGCTTTCATGTGGGCCGACCCCGCAAGCACTTCAATTGCATGAGCAATTATGTTATAAGATGTACGCGTTTCCAACCTCAAATAGTCCAAGCCCCATCCAACCCCAGAAACAGAGATGTATAGATGTTCTTGCAGGGTGAGTCTGCACACACACACACACACACTTAAGCGCTGTTTGCTGTATAGATCAGGTACGATTGCTTCTACCGGCGTGACAAGCTAGATCTGGTTGGAGATCCCAGAGCCATGTACAGGGACATTGCAGCCCACATTAGGGCAACCTTGCCCAAATGCACCATCCAGGAATTCTACTTTGAGACAAATGAAAAGGCATTGAGGCTAGAAATGGCACGCTCATGCACTATGAATTGCGCAGGACCGGGACAACGGCTTGGGAGAGCAGGGGTGGTCGTAAGGAATCTACTAACTGGATTAGTACGATAGTATGTGTATACATCGGACCAGGCTATATTTGTATATATATATAGTGGGTTTGTGGGCAGGGACTGTATTAGATGCAGGTGCGGTTCTGTTTCCTCTATGGGCGTTCTCATGCCATTGATGCCAAACAACCTTGGAACCCTCTTTTTCAGACCCATATGGGCGCCAGGCTTTGGCATGCAATGTTTTTCCTGGGGGTCAACTGCCTCGTATAGGGACACAAATTGTCAGACAACAGGGTCCAGCAACCCAGTAGGAATATTGGTTGACGCTGCTTACTGCAGGTGTGTTTTTAGGCTCAAAGGTGGAAAGGGTTCCCCAATGGAGTTTCGGCCAAACACACCCATGACATGGCTGCAGAGCTTTATCAGCTCTGTAGCTAAGCATGTGGCCATGATCCTTGTTTGGTTCATGTCGGAGGCAGATCTTGAAGACTTTTCCACCAAGATGCTGCAAGTGCTTGGCAAGTTCGATGAGGATAGTAGCATCTCCGAGTGGAGTGTGGTAAGTGAAGAACCGGCCTCTTCCACATCAAACACCTCTCATGCTGGACTGTCTGGACTGTCTGGATCCTCGACTCAATGCCCACACATGCGGGTATCTAAGAAAGGCAGCAACCACTTTGTCCAGATCAAGCGCTGCAAAGCGTGTGGATTCTTGTTGTCAAAAGAGTTGACGGGCGCTGGTCTGAAAGTACAGCAGACCAAGGCTGCCAAGACAAATGTGCAATAATTAGAGCACATGTGCAGGGTGGCAGGTGCTCAAATCGCACAAGGTTGTGAAATGGAGATTGTGTGCAGCCGTGGTCAAAGAATTTCTGTGGCAAGGGCTCTTGCGCATCACCTTCACATATCCCCGCTCTTTCCACCAAAAATACATACACCTGCTGCAAACTTATTGAGTTTCTGAAACCTACCCAGAGAAGGTCCAGGTCTTTTTTTTCCCCTCTCTCTCTCTCTCAAGGGTATTGGGAGGGGAAACCATATATATATATATACAGTATACACCACATAGAATAGTATAATCCAGTGACACTGTGGCCTGATCCAGGAGACCCATCCACTTGTCCGCTAGATGACTGGCGGCCACTGCTGTCAGAGACTGAAATTGAGAACCTCGCAGCCTATGAGAAGAAGTGACTTGTTTTTTCTCCAGTTAGGTTTTGGTTTTGTCTATTTATTGGGGGGAGGGGAGTAGTAAGCAGAACACAGCGTTGTCAAGGTGCGCGGCTGCCTTTCTATCATTTATATAGGGGTCCTTGATGGTATAGGTCCCTTCCCAAATTGTGTTCACTTGTTCACTTATATGCATATATGATGACTTGCTTGATCCAAGGTTCGAGAAGGAGGGCAAGGGTTCCTTTCCTATTTTTTCTCTTAGCCAAAGCTGTGAAAAACATCCTACGATGTCTACACAGTCCGAGTGCCTGCCATGTTTTACGAAGAGTGGTGGCAAGCATCTTTGGCATGGAGGGCTGAAGAGATGGCTGACTGCAAGGGAGCGTCTAGCGGCTTCCGGTTTGGCGGTTAGTGAGGGGCAGGCTCTTGCTTCACACACTAAGGCACCTGTTGACTGGCAGTCGGATTATGGATGGCACGCTCGCGTTGGAAATGGGAACCAGCTTCAAAATGTAGGAACCGTTTTGATTGCTGTCCTGGGCAGCTTGCGCTTGAAGTCAGATGTGCCAAGTATCCCGCCAATTGAGCCAGCATCGTGCCCCGATGGGTTGTCACTGGTGAATGGTACCTACAAACTGGAAGTTGGCAAGGCTATCTTTGATGTGGGAACCGACAAGGCCATTGCCATACTAACCCATCGTGCTGTCCACGAAACTTTGGTTGAAACTCCAAAGGGTTCCTTTTCATATTTTGGTGTGAAGCGTGCACTTTTCAAGTGGTGGTAAGCAGGTGTAGTTATCCTAAGGGCACTGTAGTAAGCAGATTGTGCATGATGTGGGAAGCAACGTTTTCAGAGGTCATATGTACTGAATATACTTACTCATGTATTTATATATATATATATTTATACCAATAGTTGACCCAAGGAAGAGCGCCTCCAGCATGAAGCGCTCACCATTCCGCAAATGAAGGGCAAGCTTCAGGATTGGGCGCTTTCAGTGCAAGCATTCGCCAAAGCAAAGAACAAGGAGGAGAAAAAAGCAGTCTTTTTGGAAGCATGGTTCACCAAATTCAAGCTTCCATCGTTGGTGGGTGAATCGAACGGCTGTTCCAGCACATCTTCCTCTAGCAAGTCTGTGTCCGCAGAGAAGTCTGAGAAGCTCAGCAAGGTTCTCCACTTCCAGCCGCAGGTCAATTCGAAAGAGGTGGGCCCTGAAGAACCAAAGCTCTATGCAAAGATCCTGATTCTCCAAGAAGAGTGGCTGGAGGCCATCCGCACCAAGGGCAAGACTCTAGAACTTAGGAAGTCTGTGATTGAGTCAAAGGGGGAGGTGATGTACCTGGCAGTGCAAGATACAATTCGTGCTCGATGCAAGGTCTTGGAGCCCATCACCATATGCACTCCGGAAGAGTTTTCCATTCTGCGTCCAGCCCATCTTTGCGGGACACCTCCCTACACTTTTCCTTTCTATGGCCACTTGCTTTCAGAGGCCTGTTTTGTTCAGAAAATGCCCAAATAATCATACAATGTTTGTGTATAAAAACACAGATATATTATATATGATATAATTACGCATGATTGTTGCAGTAAGCAGAATTAGAGTCCACACTTCCAATTTTAGTTATATATACATGAAACTCGTGCACGGGCAGGTGCAATTCCTCTTCCCAAAGAAGTTCAACAAGCTGGACTCTTGCATTGGTCGTTCACTTTACAGGCCAGTGGGCTTCTCTGAGGAAAAGATTGCATCCATGGAAGCAGGAATTGCTGCCGCTGAGGAAGCTAGCAAGAAGGCAAAGAGTAAGGAAAAGGATCCAGGAGACCAGAAGGCAAAAGAAGGAAACAAAAGCAGCAAGAAGCCAAAAGCGGGAAAAGAGATCAAGGAATGTGGCGAGGCCACAAAAGATCTGAAAGCAAAAGGCAAGAAAAGCGGCAGTTCTCCAGGAGCTGCCGAAGAGATCAAGAAAAGTGGTGGGCAGCCAGAGGCGGAGAGCAAGGAAAAGCCTCCAAAGGGCAGTAGCAAACCAAAGAAAGAGTCCAGCAGGCTTTTGAATTTGGCCCAGCCCAACCTTCTCCAGGGCAGCGCCATTGAGGTTGTGAATTCCAAAAACCATCTGCAACCAGGAAATGATCGGTTGCAGAACAAGCTGGACTTTCTCAAGCGGAAAGACAAACATGTGGATATCAACATTTCTGGTGGAGTGCTGGCTCATTTGAACAATATTGCTTTCGCCAAAGCGGCAGACATGATCACAGTGTCATACTTTCTGGGTGGCATGGATGAGAAGAAAAGTGTAATCCACGTGAAAGGCTGCTGGTGTCCAAATGTCTTGAAAGAAGAAGGGCCATACAAGCCGATGTGGGACGATGATGAATTGCAAACGTTGTGTACCCAGAAGGGGGACATTGTGGTGGGGTGCTGCCTGGTCAAGCCTTGTCTTGAAGATGAGACCAGATTTTGCCAGGAAGAGTTCCAATTCACCAAGGCCCACCAGGAAGCATGTTTTTCTTCCTTTTTCACTGGCGTGGTTGGAAAAGACAAAAGGGCTTCCTTCTACCGTCTGACAGAGATTGGGCTAGAAGCTGGGCCAGGTGAGCAAAATGCTTGCAGCCAAGAGCAAGTCATTCAGCTGGAGCCCCATGTTCATTGGACAGGGCAGCCATCCTTGTATTACGCTGTAGATGGTGTGGGAGGACAATCCTCAACATCCAAAATTGCAGAAGCTGCGCGGCAGGATATAGTGAAGACCAGTGCACCCAAGAAAGGACCCCTGAAGAGATTGGCTGAGCAAGTTGAAAGGCGTGGGCTTCCAGTGGCATGCCATGATGCGGAAGCTGTTTCTCGTTTGCAGGAGTCTTCCAAGCAGGTGGGTGCATTTGCTCAGTTTCTATGCGAACGCATGCAGGACTTTGGCCAACAGAAGATCAGTAAAGAAGAATTTGACCAATCTTTGGAAGACTTGCCGTTTGCCAGGATTGAGCTGCAAAAAGCACAGATTCTTGCTTTCCCAACAGACATTCCATCCGCTGCTAAACTGTTGAGCGATGCGCACAAGATCCAGAACCATCTTGATGTCCGAGCTGTGAAGAGGAGGACCAACCAAGGACATTCACTGGACGGGGCGAAATGGAAGAGAAAGGCATCCTCTCAAGCTTCATCCACAACCTCCAAATCCAGGCGAGTGGAACCTTCTTCGTCTCCTGCTTCCTACCCTGGGCCATCTACCTCGGCAAGTTCACCTAATCCAGAAGCAGACAGCTCTGACACCGTTGGCACCCAGGCTATGGTGCTCGCTGAGGAGTCATGTTCTGATTCTTGAAAGCATTATATATATATAAACCTATGGAGATCAGACTGAGTCATGTTTTGGTCATGCAGTAAGCAGATCTGGTGGAGCTGCTTACAGCAGGCAGCTTGCAAAGTTATATACGTGATAAACTGTTGTGCAATATACACATATATATATATATATTGTCATACTATATATATATACAACTATAGATAGAGACCTATACAAATTGTGTTCTATTCCTGATCAACCTCAGGATGGTGGGAATCTTTTGGCCGCAGCAGATGGTCAGTGCGTGCCATATGACGAGGATGAGCCATCTGACCACAACCACGGTGGTGATCCTTCTGATGAGGAGGGCGAGGGGGATGCTCCAGCGCGGAAGCGCGGAGGTGCAGCCACCAGGACCAGGGTTACCATTTATGACAAGATGCTGGCCATTCGTGAGCTCGACCGGCTGGTGGAAGAAGGCCACAAACATGGATTGGAGAAAAGAGTGATGGCCACCTTCCCCAAGATCTTCCGCAATTCCAAGGGCGGGTTCAAAAGCGGCATGTTAGGCCGTTGGCTTCATCAGTGCGATGAGCAGGGCTGGCGCCATATACCATGGGACAAGCTCAGTGAAGCAGACCGTTCTGCCAAGGAGATGCCTGACTGGATGAGAATTCCAATGGGCAAGCCGGCCCGTAGCATGCAAAGATTCAAACTGGGTAAGAACATTCCTGCTGTGGTCACTCAGCAGGTGATTTCTTATGTGGAGAAGGTCACAACTGGAGGAGATTCTTCAAAGCTGACTGCAGGGAAGCTTGATACGAAGGCAATCAAAGCAGAAGCTCAGCGGCTCCTTCAGGCCTATGCAGAAGCCCAAAAGCAAGCAGCAGATGAGAAAGGCATTGCGTGCCCTCCTTGCAAGCTCTCAGTGACCACAAAGTGGGCCAACAAGCTGCTTCAGCACCATGGATGGGTCCGCAGAACCCCCAATACCTTTGGAGCATACTTGGACTATGATGATGAAAGAATGGCCAAAAGCAGAAAAGCTTGGGAAATGCTGAGGTGGGTCTCTTGCGGTGTCCACTCCTACCAAAGCAGATTGTAATATATAAGCAGCCTGAAGCAAAAGCTAAGGGGCGTAGGAAGTTTCAATACAAGAGAGGAAGAAAAAACATAGTATTCTTGTTTATTAGTTGGGGTCAGGGGTGGGGATCATTCACGCTCTGAAATTGACCCTGCAGGCTCAGCAAAGACATCAGGCTCGACATGTGCCTCAACTACGACCAAGTTTGGAAGAGCTCGTGGACTCACCCACAAGAAGTCCTTCATCGCAGTATGGATCTCGATTGCCCTTCTCGCATTCTCAAATCCAGGCGAGCGCAAGTCATGAATCAGCTGGCCCAAATGCAGGGCAAGAGGGTGGAATGGGAGGCCAAGCGGAGGAGAATCGTAGGACTGGGTTGTGTTTTTGTTGACGTGTGCCACTGTTTGTACAGAACATTATATATATATAGCATTCATGTAGGACAAACACAGCTTCTCTGTAGGGTGCTGGGTAGGGATCTGCTTACCGCATTCCCTCAGGAAAGGATCCCAGAGCAGACAACGTGAACCAAAGCAGACACAGTATGACGATCGTGACCAGTCTCTGGGGTTCAGGGGAGGCTGGGCCTTTGACACTGGTGATCCCCACTGGCTTCCTCAACAACAAGGAGCAGCTTGAGATCCAGAAGAAGTTTCCAGATGTGTATGTCATTTGCACCAACCGTGCCAGCCACTTCATGACAGCAGACACCGTGGTGACCTTCCTCGATTCTTGTTTGGCTGATGCTTTTGCCAAGCGCCGTGCAGTGCTCTCAGAACGCTATCAACGTGATTTCAGCAATGAATGGGGAGCTTTGCTTGCTGATGCCTTCTCAGGCCATCACGCAGCGTCCCAGGGCACAGACATTCAGCGTGCCTTTGCCGGCATTCCCGAGTTTTAGAATGAGTACTGTTGTGTATATGACCCTTCTTGACTATATATATATATATGTATATGTTTGAATATAAGGTTCTACAGTATGAACTGACTTGGACTGACCAATCATTATTGTATAAATATATTGTTTAAAATTGGCGTTCAGTCTTTGGATTTTGGAAGAAAGACTGTGGAAACGGGAGGCAACAACACATACATTGATCAATATAATATATATATATGTGTGTATATTTACTTCCAGCCATTCCTTTGCTCTTACCCCTGGCAGGAGAACTGTTCCAGTCTACAGCCAAAGTCTTGTTGCCAGACCGACAACCCGGCGGCTGGAGTGCCAGAGGGCAGCCATGTGACGCAGTTCATTCCTTGCTGAGACGCTACATGGGAGTATACAATGAGACTACTCTTGGCTACAGAGGGAATTTGATGGAGCGGGCTACAGAGGCACCACTGTTGATGAGTAATGGGAATCGGCATTTGACTATCTCTCATTTTGATTCTGCTTTGGCTGCAATTTATGGGTGGCGGCGGTTGTCCAAGCGGAAGAAGATGATCAGGTGGGGTTATTTGGGCTAGGCATGACCTTTGGGACACTTTATTTATTCCTTGGGAGGGGGGAGGCCAGTAAGCATCTGCTTACTGCATGTGGGTTTCCTCCAATTCAAGCTGACTTCATGCTATATGCAAAAGTTTTTTCTTGTTTCCTCCTCGCTGCTGATTCAGGTGGGCATGGCTCTCACGAGGTATGGCCAGCAAAGAAGAGATGGCAAAGTTTTCTCCAGACAGCACCAATCCTGAAGAACTCACCGCTGAAATGGCGTCCTGCGAGGAAGAGGCTGCAGATTTGGAGATGGAAGAGCCTATTGAGGAAGTGTACCAGGGGCCTGATGTCAACAGAACAACCTTTTTGTGGCAAATCGAAGGAATCCCAGATGAGACACAAGAGGAGTGGGAAGATGGTCTGGAATGGCGGTGCCTTCCAGCGCATTGGCAAGCTATCTTGAATACCCGCCTTGCACAACATAGATCTCGAGTTCAAGACACAGAAGCTCTTTACAAGCACAGGCTCGAGAAGTTTGGAGAGTCAGACATCAAGACAAAGAATGCGAACAACAAATACCAGGCTGCACTTTCTGGGGAAGGCTCAGTGAGCGTGATCCTTATGCTCAAGGGTTCTGGCAAGGAAGCCAGCCAGGAAATCTACAAGCGGTCAGTCCAGAATGACAAGGGCACTCTCAAGGTTGCTTTGTCAAACAAGTGTGATGGGTACAAGCTCGATGTGGAGTCCATGACTTTGACCACGATTTCAGAGCCTGCCATTTCAAGGAAATTGCGGGTGGTTTCTGTCACTGGTCGGAGCTCAGAGATTCAGGAGATCCGCTTGCACTTGAATGCTCTGTCTTTGCAAACCTCCAATGTCCTGGGCGCTTTCCGGTCCACAGGTTCTGGCGCAGCTGCATGTGCCGCAGCTGGCTCCGCAGATGCTCCTGGAGATGATGCGAATGCAGAGGATGAAGGTCAAAACGAGGCCGCTGATGAGGCCGGGTGCTGCTATGAAAAGAGTTCCCTTTGTTATTCGGTTACTTTCCATGACATATTTATTGTGGCATTTGGGTGGAAGACCCCAGTAAGCAGATGCAAAGACTTTTGTTCATTTATTAGGAAAAATATGCATTGGCAAATTCCATAATTTCCACGAAACCTATATAATTCTAGGGGCTGCGCCCCACGGGGTGGGGGACAAGTGGATATACAACCCGCCTTCATTTTAAATATGATCATATGCAGCATACATTTATATATATAATATATATATGTGTGTGAAACCTCTGTGAACATGTTTCCTGTCAGGAGCTCGAGACAGAGTTGGCCATGGTTGGCCAAGACCAAGCTGCATTCGAGAGTGCGGAGGTTGCGTTGGAAGCCAATGCCCTTCCGGAGATGGACAAAGAAGAAGATGACGCATTGTCAGAACATGAGGACACTCCCCAACAAACACAATGTTGTTATGTTTCGGTCTCTCCCTGCACAACCCTATGTTTCCACATGTTTGAAACTTTGGCTTCACAGGTTGCTCACCCTTCCTCCCAGTCACAAAGCCTTTAATTTGCTCGCTGAAAGCTCTTTAGTTGCAGCCACTGCGTGCATTATTTCTATGTAATTTGATGCAAATGATGCCGCTTAATCTCAATCGCATCTCAAGCATCGCCTCATAACTGCAGTAAGCAGATCCAGACTCTACTTACTGCATTTGTTGATCTTGTTGAAAATCAACTGATGTTTACAATATTGTCATTGCACCCGGCTAGCCCTAAAATAATGTAAGTAAGTGATGCAGGTTGTGCGCATGATGCTAATGATGTTATGTGAGATAAATACTATTCTTTTAGAATGATTTGAAACTCAATAGTTGTGTCCGTTTCCATCCGATTCTGTTGAATTTAGCCTTATATCTTCTCAAATTTGCTTGGAACTATGCATTCTCACAAAATTTTCTGAAAACTCCTAAATTTCAAGAAATGGCCTCAAAACACTTGAAACATCAAGAAAAGCCAGGAACTGAAGGAATATGATCAGGAAACTATCCAAAAATATGGATTTTCATAACTTTTTCTGAAAAATCCTAAATTTTAAGAAGTGGCCTCAAAACTCTTCAAACCTCAAGGAAAGACAGGAACTGAAGGAATTAGACCAGGAAAATAACTAAGAATTAAAAATTAACTAGCTACTTTTGGTTCACTTTTTCTCCTCTCCCCCTGTCTCTGTGTCTCTTCCCTTAACGGGAGTCTGACCGGTCACCCCTTGGGCCCTTGGAGTCTTCGAGCCTCCCGTCTCTTTGAGTCCCTGTCGGAACTGTCTCTCGGCACCCTCGGCCCCATCTCTCGGCACCCGGACCGCCGTGCGTCCGGAGAGTCGATCTCAGGACTCCAAGTAACGGGGGGAGAGGCTCAGTCTCCCGTTAAGGGAAGAGACACAGAGACAGGGGGAGAGGAGAAAAAGTGAACCAAAAGTAGCTAGTTAATTTTTAATTCTTAGTTATTTTCCTGGTCTAATTCCTTCAGTTCCTGTCTTTCCTTGAGGTTTGAAGAGTTTTGAGGCCACTTCTTGAAATTTAGGAGTTTTCAGAAAATTTTGTGAGAATGCATATTGGAAATGTTTTTCACATAAGGTCGACAAATTTTATGTTTTTTGAGGTAATTTTGATGAGATCGGGCCAAAACGGATACATTTTAGCACAATCAGAAAGCAAATGAAGGTTTTCCCCAGTAAGCATATTGAATGAGTCTGCTTACTGCGCATGTTATGAGGCGATGCTGATTTTGCAACATCACCAGCAGCAGTAGTTGAAGATAAGTATGTTCAGAGACCATTTGAGCCCCCCGGTAAGCAGCATGCAAATCTGCTTACCAGGCACCCTTGCTTTTGTTTGCACTGTAGGACGATGGAGATTCAGATGGAGATGGGCTTGATGTTACATGGGAACTTGGTGATGGAAACCCGATCTTTATCGTGGACGCGAAGGCCACAGATTCCTTGGCTGCCACAGCCTCTGCTGATCCTGCATTGCCCGCAGCAATTCCTGGTGAGAAGTTCAGTAGTGAGCCAGCCTTTGTGTTTTTGTCTGACTGTAATCTCACAGTCTTGCCAAATGTTGTGGGCTGCGGGGTGGGAATACATAATACCACCAGCACGTGGCAAATTCGGTATCCCGGACTTCTTCAGAAATCGAGGGCCAAAACCTTTGGATGGATGAAGAAGGGTTGGGTTTCCTCAAGCGAGGCCTTGTTGACTTGTTTGCTTTGGGCATGGGAGGAGCACCAGAAAGTCAATCCTTCCTGTGCTACTTGCGACAAGCATGTCAAGCTTCTAAAGGGAGCATTGTTGGCCAAACTAGGCTTCCACATCAAGTGAAGAGTATTCCCCCTTCGGTGATTTTGTAACTTTCAGCCAACACTGGTTTTCAGCATTTGCTTCAACTTTTATGGAACATAAAGGGGTGATCCAGATTGTGAGCCCTCACCCGTGATGGGTTTTCGAGAGAGATATGGGGTTGTACAGTCTTTCGTTTTCCCTCTTTCACGAGGTAGGTTTCACTGAATTCATCCGCGCTACGTATGATGGCCAACAAGCTAGGCCCATTTTTCAGCAGATGAACTGCGCTTTGCCTTTTGTCAATTCTCTCATGTGTACAAATTCCACTCAACATGTGTATGTTTGTTCACCAATATTGTGATTAGGCCATGCTGGTCTAAGACGGTGTTGCTTTTAATAACTGAGAATAGTTGCTGTCAGCTGTTCATTTGCACCATCCCTCCCAGGAATTTAGGTGCACGAGCATTTGAAGACCGAGTGACAAACAGAAACAAAGAAGGGAAAAATGTGATGAACTGCTGAGCTCTAGAAATTGTGCAGTACACATCAGGGGTAGTTAGCAGAATTATAAGATATGCGATGTTCAACAAAAGCAGGTGCAGTAAGCAGTACCCACATGAGATTTTGCTTGCCGTATGGCTGTCTGGCAACCCATCTGCTAAACTTTTGCTGGGGGACCTTTTCTGCCTACTACTGGTCTTTGACTATAGATACCACTATTGTACTTTCATTGGTCCGGAAACCCGGACTTCCAAAATAATTAACTTAGTAAAGTTAAACTTATTGCATGTTTGGCCAACAATTACTAGCATATAGTTTTACATTAATTAAGCAAATAGAAACACATATAAGCAAATATGAACATGACTAGAACTGATTTGTCCGGCAAACAAGGATTTCTACATTGACAATGTTAATGAAAGCAATACAACAAATTCACGTAACTAATAACTATATAATTGGCCCGGACATCCAAGAATTTCAAAAAAAAATCACCAAAAACTGTTTTTTTAGTATTTCCAAAAATGCATAGCTAATATAATCTAAATGATCCGGAAAACCCGGAAATCAACACACATTTAAAATACTTGGTTGCAAAAAAAACATGACTTTCTCGTGAACAACTTGTCCCTAACAATTGCAATAGTAAACCGAACTGTCTCCTGTGTAGTAATAACCTCTTTCCAAATTTTATTAATAGTGTTTGAATTACTTTTAGTTTCGTTCAACTTCAAACAAAAATCAAAAGCTGTCATAGTCTTAAGATCTGAGGATTCCTATTGCGAGTAGATTGTTTTCACGCGCCAACTTTGAAACCTCCAAAAATAACTAGGCGTGTTTTTTTTTGAAAAGTTATTTTTTTACGGTGAAACCTATATTATATATATAATATGCCTGTGTATTTATATATAATCTGCGTGTAGGTTGAGCATCTGCCAACAACACCAACACCGGCACCAAAACCTCCAAGCATCACCGATGGTGGGCTACAACTACCTTAGCCTACACAAACCTAAGAACATATAAAATGTGTAGGGTCTTGAACACCTGAGGTGTTTTAATCTTCTGTCAAGGTAGGGGAAGAACATCAATGGTAGTCAAACTACACATATTATATCCGCTCAATCCCGTTCACTCAATCTACACCAAGCAGCCCAAAGAATTACGCCGAAGGGTGGACGGAACCCACAAGGCGCCTGCAAACAGTCGGTTTGCCTTTCAAAGTAATGCATGTCAAGCGCATCAATTTCATATCGGATGCCAAATGCCAGCTTCTGCCCAGTCGCAGACATCATATAACAAACAGGAGACGGCGAGTGAACTGTGTCTTCTCTGAGGGGCTAACTTTATGGAACCTGAGGCAAATTTGCTAGGCCTCAGTGCTGGGCGCATCCAAACTCACACCCTTTTGTGATCGTTGAAGGTGTTAAAACAGCAACTCCCTGGTTCTTGGATCTGCTGAAGGATCTTAAGGAACCGAAAAAAGAACATCATCCCTAGCAGAGCTGCTGTGCTGGCCGGCATGGTCGAGTCCACACCAGACGTCCATGCCTGTGGTTCACACCTAAAAGAACCAGAATAGACGTTCACAACACCAAAAGGGATAGAAACCAATGATAACATGGGTGAAGAGTCCTCTGAGTTTGATGTTCTAAGTGTTGCAGTTCAGGCTTGGAGTATGTTTCTATCAACCAGTTCCACGCATTCGCCGTTCACATCATCATGTCCTGACTCACTGAGACTGTGGGATTTTCACGTGACCAGTTTTTTTCTGCCGAGATCGGGAAGAGCAAAGATGCAATTGGTCTCAAAGAGACTCCCAGTTTCTTTTTCTTGGTGGACCACATGAAGGACCTGGACAGTGTTTGATGTTCGGTGTGCTTGAGGATGAGCAAAGGATCGCCTCTGGGAAGGGGGCCTTCTTGGAGTTCACTTCAGAGACCGTTTGGGGCCCCCAGGTCTCCCTGTTCCGATCGCCACCGCCGTGAGGAGCCCGCTTGAGCCTGCGATTCTCAAGTCCTGACTGGGTGTCTATAGTATGTGTTTTTTGATTGGCCGGTTTGAAGGCGGGACACCCAAAGATATGATGGAACATCCACACAAACACATTAGACATACCGTGTTTTTTCAAACAAAGCATTGGTCAAAAGTACTGTCCAGCAAGCCTACAATATGATCTGATCCTGGTGGCACTCTTCGGGAATGCAGGACTGTTCGGAGGGTCTGCGCCTTGTCTTCCTCAAATCCGTTTCAAACCTCTTTCACTCTCGCTCTTTCTCTCTCTCTCTCTCTCTCTCTTTGTCTCTATTGAGAGGA